TGGAGGGGAAGTACTGGGACCCCACTCCCAAATACTGGGGGCCTCTGTCGCTCCCAGCTGCCTGGAGGACGGGTCCTCTGGGGAAACGAACCCCAGAGAGGGAGGCAGGGACCAGAGCGAAGCCTGGGCTACCTGCAGGTTCTCGCAAATCGAGCACCCAGGGCAGACCCAGGACCCTATGCCCTGCTGTGGGGGCAGGGCGGGGCGCGCGCCGCGCGCTCCCGGAAACAGGAAGGCTCCGCCCCTCTAGGGCCCGTAGAGCGACGCCATACAGGAGGGGCGGACCCGAAACATCTGGACCAATCATAAACGCTGTTCTAGTCCCCATCTGAAGTTGTCCGCCTATCAGACGCAAGGAGGGGCGACCACGCCAGGTTTACCCTCCGGCCCAATGCCCCTCCCACTCGTGCGGCCGCGTTCCCGGCAGCGTGAGGGGCGTGGCCTGGGAGATTTGCCTATAAAGGCGGGCGGCGGCGGCGGCGCCATTTTGCGAACGGCGAGCTGCGGCGGCGGCGCGGAGAGGCGCAGCGGAGGTTTTCCTGGTTTCGGACCCCAGCGGCCGGATGGTGAAATCCTCCCTGCAGCGGATCCTCAACAGCCACTGCTTCGCCAGAGAGAAGGAGGGGGAGAAACCCAGCGCTACCGTCCACGCCAGCTACACCATGCCGCTTCTCAGCTTGCATAGCAGCGGTGGCCGCAGCAGCGAGAGGTAAGCACCCCGCCCCCGCCCGAAGCTTCCAGAAGCGCTGCCGCGCTGGCCCTCTCGGTGCCGGCCGCCGACGCCTCACCAGTCGGCGGAGCGCGAGAACCGCCCCTTTGTCGAGGCCGCGGTCGCGGCGGGGGCGGCGTGGGGGCGGGGTGGCAGGGCCGATTCGGGGCAGGGCTGCCTGGGCGGCATGGGGGGCCGAGGGGGTTACCTCGTCAGCTTTGGGGCCTGGCCTGGCCCAGGGCCTGGGCGGGCCCGCGAGCCCCGTGAATCTGCACTTTCCGGGTGCGGCCCTCTAGTCCCGGCTGTGGGTTTCGTGAGCGCTTTGCCTTGCCCGGACATGGCCCCAAGAAGCGCGAGCGTCGCCCCCGTTTAGTTTTCGGGTGCGGGCGGGCGGCTACCACCCCCGGGAAGGCTCCGCGTTGGTGGGGGGGGGGGCGTCGCGGCGCCCCGGTCGTTGGTGCGGGGTCTCCTGTAGAGGACGTTTGGGGCGAAAAGGCTCCTCTCGGCCCGGGGCCTGTGGAAAGTGAGCCGGGTGTAGCTGGCACCCTGTTACAGCGCTTCTTCGCCCCTGGGGTATCCTTCGGGATGAGTGTTGGGGGCGCCCAGATAGCCGAGCAAAATGGAGGCGACTTTGGGGCCTGTTTACATTGCGCAGCAAATGGCTGCTGGTGCTGGAGTGAGCGATTGTGAAAATCCCTCCCCGGAGGCCAGGGCCTCAGACTCCGAAATGACGCAACGCAGGGCCGTCCCCTCCCCCAGCTGCACTGCTGGAGGTCACGGCTGCGCTTGTGCTGCCCCGTGGCCCTGTGAAGCCGGGGAGCCTTCTGGGCAGGGGCGGCAGGGGGAGCCGGGAGCGCGGGCTCCCCGGCCCCGGGGTGTCAGGCGTTTCCGCGGTAGGCTGGGAGCACAGCGGGGCAGATGGCATGGGCACTGTTCCAACGACGTGCCAGGGGGTGTTGGGCTGGTGACCGTCTGACCACAGGTGGCTGGGCCCCGGCACCGGTGCTTCTCAGCCTGGCGGGGGCAGAACCTGAGCTGCCCCAGGAGGTGGACACTGACTTTCAGACTTAGCAGGCAGCTGGGGAAGGAGGGGCTGCCAGGGTGCCAGCCAGCCTGGCTGTGCCAAGGCTCAGCTCCCGGGCACGGGGAGCCCGCCTGCTGCTGACCAGCTCACTCTCCTCCAGTTCCAGGGTCTCCCTCAACTGCTGTAGTAACCTGGGTCCGGGGCCTCGGTGGTGCTCCTGATGTCCCTCACCCACCCCTGAAGATCCCAGGTGGGCGAGGGAATAGTCAGAGGGATCACAATCTTTCAGCTAATTTATTTTACTCAGTAAGTATCTGGGGCCCTCTGCTTCAGGGCGGGGGGAGGCTGGCGCGTGGCCCCACAGGCCGCGTGGCACAAACACGGCAGCAGGCCAGGTTGGCCTGGTCCCTCCACAGCTGTAGTCGCCCAGGGCTCCACACTCCGCCGGGGACACCGCGGGGTTTTTCAAAGCGTTGGTGCAGCTGCGGGGGGAAAATGACCTACCTGTGGGCGTGGGTGACTGTGCGGGTTGGGTGCCTCCCTCTGCAGGATAATCGGCTGAATGTAACAGAGGAACTAACGTCTAATAACAAGACAAGGATTCTCAATGTCCAGTCCAGGCTCACAGACACCAAACACATTCACTGGAGAGCGGTGCTGAGCGGCGGCTGCCTCTACATCGAGATCCCCGGCGGTGCCCTGCCCGAGGGCAGCAAAGACAGGTACGCTGTGCTGCTTTCCTCTGGGGCAGGAGGGCAGCCCCGGTCTAGTCAGACTGGGGGCCCCTTTGTTAACAGTGGACCAACACTTGTCACCTTGGGGGGGCACTGGGTCATGGTGTTGGGAGTTGGTGGTGCTGGGGTTGCCTCTCGGCACCCCCAGTGCCCAGCACCGTCCCAGGAGATGGTCTTGTCCTGGGGGTGGGGAGCCTGGACCAGACTGGATAGGGAAGAGTTGGGGGCGCTCCCTGTGGATTGGGCAGGAGGGCACAGTGGGGCGCTCGAGCCAGCCGATGCTGACAGCCGGCTTCAGCTTTGCAGTTCTACTCGAGTTTGCCGAGGAGCAGCTCCGTGCTGACCACGTCTTCATTTGCTTCCACAAAAATCGTGACGACAGAGGTAAGTGGCCGCCCCTGCCCTGCCGGGAGGGAAGGTGGCACCACCCGTCCTGCTGCACCCCAGGACCTGAGGCGCCTGGGGAGGGTGCGCCGCAGCCCTGACGGCCTTTTCCCCTGCAGCTGCCTTGCTCCGCACCTTCAGTTTTTTGGGCTTTGAGATTGTGAGACCAGGGCATCCCCTTGTCCCCAAGAGACCCGACGCTTGCTTCATGGCCTACACATTCGAGAGAGAGTCTTCGGGCGAGGAGGAGTAGCGCACGGCCGCCGGCTCCTCCCGCTGGAGCCCTCACTGCAGCCCCTTCCCTGTCGAGCTTCTGTGGGGTGGCGACAGCCCTGTGCTCTGCGCTGTCAGGCCTGCTCGTTCCTGGGTTTGTCCGCATGCTGTAATTGTGAAAATAAACGCTCACTCCAAATTAGCCGTATATTTCTTGAAGTTTAATATTGTGTTTGTGATACTGAAGTATTTGCTTTAATTCTAAATAAAAATTTATATTTTACTTTTTTATTGCTGGTTTAAGGTGATTCAGATTATCCTTGTACTTTGAGGAGTTTCTTATTTGAAGTCTTTTGGAAACAGTCCTAGGTCTCTTAACTTGGAAAGGTAGATATTAATTACTACTATCAAAATTCTGAATAAAGTGATACACCTCCAAGACCATGTTGGCTCAGTGGTGTTAACCTGGGGGCTGGGAGCTGAAAGAGGGGTGGGCCTTGGGGGCAGGGAGGGTGGCCCTGGTTACCTGAGGTGGCTGAGGCTGTGCAGCGTGTCAGGCGACCTGGCACATTGTTGGACCGGGTGGCTGAGGGCCCGCACTCCTGGCCATGCTGGGTTTCTGTGCGGCCGGGGGCCCTGCCCGGCACTGCGCTTGGGTACCTGGGCTTGGGGAGGTGGCGAATAGGCAGCAGCTCCCTTTCTAGAGGGTCCTCTCTCAGCTGCCCCCTGTGCCATTCCTCCCTGGGGTGCTAGTGGGGTCCTGCTCACTAGACCTCACCTTGTTCTCATTAGTCTGGGCCTTTCAGGCTGTTTGGGGTAGGGCCAGGGCCTGTTGGGCTGTGACTGCCCCATTTGCCACTGGACCTTGCAGTGGTGTGCAGGGCAGGAGCAGGGACACCGAGCGGGGTCTGCTGGTCCGCGGGGAAGGAGGGGCCGAAGGCCCAAGTGGTGTGTGACCACCCTCAAGGTGGGTAGGGCTGTGGTGCCACCTGCTGGCTGCATTTGGGAGCGTGGGTCTGCGCCCTGACTGGGGAACTGGCTCAGAGGGATTCAAGGGGGGTGGGGGGGGGACAGGGTGACCATTTGAGTGATGAAGGAACCAAAAGGTCTGGAGGGCAGAGACCCCCCTCAAGTGTGTGGCCAGGGCAAAGGTACTGCGTGGTGGGTGTGAAGCTGCGGAGTGGAAGGGAGACTTCTGGGGGGGGGGCAGCCCTGAGCTTGCCTCGGGGGAGGGAGCAGGGCAGGGTGCCGTTAAGGGCGCCAGGAGCTGCGGGAGGTGCTTGAGCAGTCGAGGGCTCCCCTTAGAGTGGGATTAGACCCATTGGCGAGGGTGGCCGGTGTAGGGGGACAAAACCGTGGGCAAGGGCGGGCGATGGCACCCCCGGCTCCGTCTGTGCCTCACATCACCTGATGAGCTCGAGAGGAGCGGGAGGGGGAGCTTAACTTGCGTAGAGCAGGTGGGGTGGTAAAGGTCTGAAAGTCTGTCAGACGGAACATCGCGGAAGCTTCGAGGCAGGACAGTTGAGCCTGTTGAGAAGAACAGTGGGGGACCCCGCCTGTGGAGAAGAGTGAGGAGCTGGCAGGGCCTGGGCCACAAAGGGTGGGCTGCGCTGCACTGGGTGTCTCTGAAGGCCGCGCATCAGGGCACCCCAGCACCCTCTGGAGGCTAGGAGGGGGACTCTGCGTGCTCATCGGCAGTTGTCCACACCTGGAAGTGGGCGGGCGGCCCTGGCATCGGCCCTCACGTCTGAAAGGGGTGGCACTGCACTCTGAGAAGCCCGGGCCCGAAGCGTCCAGTACATAAGAAGGCAGGCTTTGGAGGGGAGGGGAGGGTTGCACACCCCTGCACCTCTCAAGGTGGGCACAGCGCCAGGCCTGTGAAAGGGTGCCTGCGTCCGGACGATGCCCAGTGCGGTCATGTCCCTCTCTGCAGAGGTTAGTCCCACAGCAGGGCCAGGGCGCGCCCCAGCGAGGCCTCCGTGGCCTCGATGAGGTATTCACAGCACAGCCAGTCTTCCAGGCCAGGGGCCTCCCCACCCGTGGCCTGCTCAGCCAGGTGCAGAACCAACAGGGCGCGCCTGACCCGAAGCCAGGACCCCAGTGGCGCTGCCTGACCGTTCAGCTCGGGCCCGGGGCCCCAGAGCAGCGTCTGGAGTGCGCCGCGGGTCTGGGCCGCAGAGGGCCTCCAGCGCAGCAGCTGGGCCGCCAGGCGCTCCAGGCCCCGGGCCAAGGGTGTGGCCATCGGCAAGGAGGGGCCGAGCAGCTCCCGGAGCAGAAGGCCCAGCTGCGCCGCGTGGGTGCTGGGGTGTCCTGCAGGCCGTGGGCAGACACGGCCAAAGTCAGCGAACAGCAGGCGCGGGGGCCCGGGGGCCGCGCAGCCCCGCGGCTCTGCCAGCAGAAGGTTCTCCAGCCGAAGCTCAGTCAGGACCGCGCCCACATGCTCCAGGCGCTCCAGGGCCGCGCTCAGCTGCAGCAGCATCAGGGCGACAGCCCTTGCGCACTCCGAGGGCGGCTGAGCACGCACCTCCGCCAGCCACTGGGCCACAGAGCGCTCGGGAACTTCAGCCGCCAGCATGACGGGGCCTCTCCAGGGCGTCGCGGGGAGCGCGCCCTCGGGCACCAGGCCACACAGCCCCTGGAGGTTGAAGTGTGGGGGCAGAGAGGCCTGCAGCTCCAGGCCCCACAGGTGGGGCTCTTTGGTTCCAGGTTTGGGCACCTGCAGGCAGATGGGACCATCAGGGCCGGCCCACGGAGCCCTCCCGCCCCTCAAAACAGCCTTGCCCTGCAGGGAGGCCCCATTTTCCGGAAGCCAGCCGCCCACCCCCAGCCCAGTCCCTTCATGTTTGGGGGTGCGGACTCCTGCCAGGCATCTTCCAAGCAGGATGACTGTTAACCGGGATATTTGTCAGCGAGGATTTTAAGGACTGCACCAGGGAGAATGGGGTGCAGGGTCCGACTTTCCAGCTTTTGCTGCGGGGAGCTGTTGGTTGACGTGGGGCTGGCTGTCCAATGAAACGCGAGGATCAGCCTCCCCTTAGCGTGGCCTCGTAGGCCACGTTACAAAAAAGTGACAAGAACTAGGTGAACTCAATTTTCACAGCCTGCAACCGGTTCTGTCCGAAAGCTATTGCGGACCCGGTCATCAGCCAGAGCCGGCATCTGGCCGCGTGCACAGTCGGGTGTGGAGCCTGCGGCCGGCCCGTGTGACGCCCTCTTGGGTCACGTGTGCCCTGCACCTCGCAGCACCCACAGAAACTCTGGATTCTGGGGGTGACACTAGAGTCACCTTTGGAGAGAAATTACAGTTTCTGGGGTGGATATGTCAAAAATAAACTCCCAGCTCCGATGGGCAGCGGGACGGAGCCGCCCCCAGGGCGCTTTGTCAGCAGCCACTGAGGCCCTGCAGGCCCGAGAATGGGCCATCGGCCCACACGGCGGCCACGCTGCGACAGACCCGCCTCTCCAGCGAGCGTGTGCCCGGCACCAGCCTTCGTTACTCTCAGCGGGTCGCAAAGCAGAAGCAGGACTCGCAGTGACGCTCCCCTGGCCGAGTCCACTCGGGGTGAGCGTTGCGTGTGCAAAGGCATCTGAAGGTCCCCGGAGCTGCCCGAGGCACAGAGCCAGTGCCGCAGCGTGGCTGAATATTGTCACTTCACGCGGTGGCAGTCAGCTGGCTGTGGTTAATGAGTTTGTGGCTTTCTGGTGCCAGAATTCACGGGGAGACATTAAAATGCAGACTCCCGGGCGCTGAGGGGTGGGGAGGGTTTGAGCAAGACTCCCAGGTGATTCAGTGTGGCGGCCCCACCCGCCAGAAGCCCGGCCCGGCAGCTCATGGTAGCTGCAAGATGAGCTGAGAGGCCCAACGTATCCTGGGTTCCGTCCGGGGGATCATTGGGGACCCTTCCAAGGAGCGTGGGGGCTCACCTTGGCGGCCAAGACATGCCAGGTCTCCTCAGCCACCCGCACCATCCGGTAGTAGAGGGTGTCCCCGCTCTCCACGCAGGGCGAGTTGTCCAGGAGGCGGAAGCCGTGGCCCGGGTGGCAGGGGCCAGGGCGGCCCCCCAAGAGCCGGGCCTGGAGCCGGGCGTGCATGGTGCGGAGGCCCTCCAGCTGCCGGGCCCTCAGCGCCGCGTCCACGGCCTCCAGACGGGACAGGTCCGGGAGAGACAGGTCCAGGTGGGCCTCAGGCCACCTGAAGGGCAGCTCTGCGGGGGGGCACCCTGGGCCTGCTTTAGGGGTGCCTGCCCCGCTCTCGTCGATACTGAAGCTTAGGAAGTGCCTCCGAGGCGTCCCCGCTGGAGAGGGGCCGGGACTGCTGGCCCTCTGGAGGGGCAGGGAGCTAGTCCTGGCCAGGTTCCTCTTGGGCAGGGGTGGGGGTGAGGGTTGGGGTTCGGCGGACAGGGACCCGGGCGCCCTGCAGCGGCTGGCCTTGGAAGGCAGCAGGTGGGCCCTGACCTCACCTGCGGGGGGAGAAGAGGGTGAGGCCTCCCACAGGACTCCCAACCTCGCCTCACCTCTGAAGTGGAGCTCGGGGTGCTCCCGTGAGGTGGGGGCGCCACGCTGAGGCTCAGAGACTGAAGAGCCATGTCAGAGAGGCTTCCGTCATCGACACCAGTGACCCTGCCTCCCTATATGGCGTCTTCGCCAGCTGCCTATTCCCAAGCTGGGGGTTCCAGCTTTTCAAAGAGAGCAGCTGAGTTTTATCAAAGGTCGTAAGAAAGTTAATGTAACGACTGCAACTGTCATGTGGCACAGACTTCCTCAGGCGACCACGGGGACTCAGCCCCGCGCTCCGGCCACTGGTGCAAGCCACCCCCGGCTGGGTACTAACCCCCTCCCCAACCCCCAACACAGCCCCAGCCCAGGCTTCCCCCAGCACAGGCTGCCCACAGCCAGGTCCCCTCCCCAGCCCAGGGCACCCCGGCCAGACCCCCCAGCACAGCCCCAGGGCCCCTCGGGCGGCTCACCAAGGTTGCTGTAGGTGGGCTGAGAGTCCCAGCGGGGGACATCGGGGCCAGGAGCCTCAGCAGATAGCTCGGGGCTGCTCATGCTGCTGCGGAGGGTAAGGGGGTGCGTGTGTGGGACCCCGAGGGGCTCTTCCTGCCCAGCGTGACTTCACTGTGTGGCCCCGGTGGGCTTCTTGATCTCTCTGGGTCACCCATCGGCTTTTCGGGGACTCTGTACTCACGTGATGTGTGCAGATGGTCCAGCCACGAGGGCGGGCTATTTGGGGGGTAGCCGGGGTGGGCAGTAATACCTGGGACTCTTGGCCTGTCCCCAGGGCGCAACCCCACGGAACCTAGGCCACCCCATCCCCAAAAGTGCCGGCCCCCGGCCCAGCGCCCCCTCCCCCCCGCGGACCCCGACCTTTGGGGCTGGAGAGACGGCAGCAGAGAGGGGCTCAGTGACTTCCCGACAGCTCGCGCTGGGCCTCCCCGGAGTCTGACCGGCGCTGCAGGAAGTGCTGGCGAGCAGTTAGACCGCAGCAGGCCACGGGCGGGCCTTCTGTAGCACTTCCCCACTGACCTGGCGCCCCGCCCGCCCTCGCGGGGACCCCACAGACGGCATCCCGCAGCGCGGCGTCTGGCAGTGAGGTGGCACCCAAGGCGGACAGCCGCTGGGCTGAAAGCAGGGTGCAGGAGACCGGAGGCGGCCGGGGGCCGCAGGGGGAGCGGGGCTGCTCTGGACAGCGATGTCACCCCACCGTGGGGCGGACACCCCGCCTGCTGTGTGGGAGAGCACAGCAGAGGCGCTCGTCTGTGGCTTCCACTTCCTCCAGAAGCACTTCCCCTTCTGCGGGGTGTCCGAGCAGCTCCGTGCGCCCCGAGTCCCACCTGGCCGGGGACCTCATGCAGGGAGACGGTCAGTTTGCCTGTGCTCAGGGCCGGTGTGGCTCCGACAGGCCGCAGCGCTCGTGACTCGCGTGTGATGTTGCGAGTCGCCCCGCTCTGGGCGCCAGAGGCCAGAGGAAGGCGCTTCCGGCTGCGGCTCCCTCTCGGCCACGTTAGCGGACTTTTCTTTATTAGATCTGCTCCTCTCACATCCCTCCCCCACCTGGACGCGTTTGTTTAAAAGACTTTGGGCGTAAGTGACCGAGCTCAGTCAAGAGCGAGACCCCAGGGAAAGGCGGCCTCCGGGAAACTCGGCTGAGGCCGGGGCGGTCAAGCCCCGCTGGGCCTCGCCTGACCCTCCGAGCCGCCCCCGCCCCACACCGGCCTCCGCCCACAGCGGAGAAGCAGAACCAGAAGTGGCTCCAAGCTCACTGTTTAGCTGCCTGCTGGGCCCCTGCTGGGGCTCCCCACCCTGGGTGTTTTCCTCTGGCGCTGGGAGAGGGCGGGGAGTCACCCAGCTGGCCCAGGCTGGACGCGCGTGTCCAGGACGTGGAGGCCCCGCCTGTGGCAGAAGGAAGCCGAGTCCACACCCCTAGGAGTCCTGGGCGTGTTCTGAGCACCGCCGCCCCGCTGACCCCCGGCCCTCTGTCCCCGGCCCGCTGCCCCCGGCCCTCTGTCCCCCGGCCCTCTGTCCCC